TTTCTCATAAATTAGGCACTGGGTAGAGAGTTAATGATAAATATATTTTTCTTATATCCGAACGAGTAGAAAAAGTGCAGTTTTTTAAAGTTTCGTGACTTAATATAAGCCACTTCTTAAAAGTAAATACAAAATAACATTCTATGGTTACTAAGTAAAATTAAATAGGGTTTCTTTACACGTTTCTTATAGCAAATTTTGCGATTTTTTAAACCTGTACTTAATTGTTGTAAGCACATCCTATAACCTCTCAGGTACCTGCACAATAAGTATTTTTTTTAACTGAAAAACGATGTTGATATTTATCACTGATAATTTTTTCTTTAATCACCATTTACAGTAAAGCTTTATAAATGACTTATTCTATGCGAAATATTCTTTTAATTTCAGACGATTGGAGGGAGTTTTCAGTAAATTAGTTCCTTAAATGTTATGATTCGTCAGCAAGGAATATCTATAATCTTGAAGAAACCGATTATTATTTTTGAGGTTCTCATCAAGGTCAACCAGTTTCACAATATGAGACTTTTCCACTGACCTATATTTTAAATGATGTAAATCAATATTATAGGACAAATACAATAATAATTAATGCTACTTTGTAATCAATCAAATGTAAAATATCTCTGTCAAATAGGACGTTCGTTGCACACTGAATAGATCAATTATCTTGTTCCTTGCTATAGAGTTAGACGATACTGCTTCAATTGCCATAGGAAACATAAGGTATCTAAGATGGGAGATACACCTTACTTATGAATATTAACTGGCAATTGATATTCCCCGCTGACTATTTTCAGTGATCTAACGTTTAACCACAGTGTAGTGAATAACGACTTGGGTAAGCTTGATCAGTTCATTATGTTAATCAAAACCACATGCTGCATTTGTAAAATATCAAAAAATACACTGAATACAAGATTTTCATGTCTTCCTTGAATTGTCTATTACAAACTTTATCGTTCTTGCTTTCTTTTTTCTACTTTGACTATTTTAGTTTTTTTTCTGTTTTACTTATTTATTGTTTTGTCAATAAGAATTCTACTTCTAATTCCTCATACTTAATACTTATATCTATCCGTATAAGTAGCACACCTTAAACCACAAATAACTCATACTAGAGCTCACATAGTAACATGACTAATAAAAGCTGATCAACTCTTCAATCACTTATTAAGTTATAAGCCATCAAATTTTAAATCTTTAGAAATCTTCATTGATTTAGTACAATCTCTTTAACCGTTAAGTACATCACTGATTAAAGTTTTAAATGTCACCCACTGGACTCTGATTTACTAGTCCACATGTTAAATGTTCATCATGAAAGCTAAACGTTCAGGGTTCAATTCTTTGTAGTTTAGTGTTTGTATAATGCTGCAATTTCCACACTAAAATGAATGAGCAGTTTATTTGCTCTTTGATTTTCATTGTTATTATTGTTTACGTAATTTGTCTTCTTTAACCACCGTTAAAGTTTCGTTAGCTAAACATTATGCTTGTAAAGAAATTTATTTCAGGTTTTGCATAGTGACTTTATCCTACATAAAAGGTGTTTAATTAAACAGTTCAATAACCAAAAATGCCTACATACATATTTTTTATCTATGGAAGAATTTTATTACTTTACTAAAGATAGAATAAATTAGTATCCGAAAATTGGTACAGTGTTAATTAAATAAAATAGTTTCTAGTTCAATAGTATTTGTTTATATTGATGAGCATTTTAAATGTACAAAGCTATTAGGTTATTCGAATGTTTAAGGATTTATGTAATCTATTTATTACAGCAGTTATAAGTCAATTTATACATTAATTCATGTAATATATTGAACATTGATTAACTAATATAGTGAACAGTTAAATACTCATTCTCTGAGTAAATATTTTAGACATAGCACCATCTTTACAATAATGATCCATCTATAACATTTTAATAGTATATTTGCACTGAAAGTGATCCGGTGAGACTATAATTTATCGACGACTTTTGAGCAACGCTAGACTAAACTTGAGTGTTCACTTAATAACCAGGACTAAATGAGGTTTATCAACCTATAATTATAAATCACAGTTGATGATTAAGCTTAGAACATAGATTTAGGGTTGTTACAAAATTTCATAATGCGTTACAATTAAATGAAGATAATAGTATATATGAATATACGGTAGGAATATGGATTTGATTGAAAATAAATTTAAAAACGATATTTATATTTGGTTTTCCAACGATCATTCTTTTTTCCACAACACTAGTTATGATGAGACTATAACTTATGAACTACCTTAGAGGGATGCTAAACTGACTTTGAGAGTGTCCACCTAATAACCAGGACCAAATGAGTTATATCAACCTATGTGAAGAATAAGAATTATGATTCGCATTTGATGCTTAAGGTTGGGAATTAGATTTAGGGTTTTCATCTCGAACACACATCAACTATAAGACCAAAACTCTATTTAGCCAAATGGATCAGTGAATTTCGTTCCAAAATGCGAGACCTGTAATCTTATACGTGATTGGTTAATCCATACATTATAGTCTCGCCAGTGATTCGTCTCATGATATCAATTTCAAAAATGAATTATTTTAAAATATCTGTCGAATTGTAGTTCGCACACTCATTATAAAAATGACTATAAATGGAGGTTAAGAGTTCGTGTGCGAGATCGAAGGTCTCGGGTTCGAATCCCGTTGATGTGAACCGCTGAGGAGTCCCATCACAGAACAAAATGGCCATCCAGTGCTTCTAGGTTTCTCAGGATGAATTCCATCATCAATTTACAAATACATTGTCATTCTATACCGTAAACTAATTCTGAACTTTATCATTCATGACGATTTTTCAAGCTGAAAACAAAATTTACATCCTTGTGCAAAACCAATACAATTTTGAAAATCGTCCAGTAAGATGTTCAACAATTGCTAATCATCTTAAAAACAGTACAGTATATGCAAATTAAATTAATATAATAATATAAAATGAATTATAACTTTACACATGACGTCATAGTGGATGATGTTTCTTGATATACGGTCTTTGAAAATAACAACAAGAAAAACCGGTTTCACAAATGAGTTATTAAATAAAGGTATATAGAATTCCACTTTTATTACTTAAGACAGTAAATGATCAATCTCATTCTTTACAAGTGTATTTTCAGTGGATTAAATCATTTCAGTTTATAGAAAGGGAAAACTACATTTGTAGAAATCTATAAAGAACATAATTTATTCATGAGTTTCTTGTTATTCAAGACAATATTATTTGAACAAATAAAAGAATGTAAATAATATAAAAAGGTTACAAATGCTTGAGGTAATTTGTGTCAGTTGTTCGTTGAATTAGTTTTATTGAATTAAACTCACTAATAAAATTAAATTGTGGTTAGTATTAAAATCCGAAACTTGATTTCCTCCCCCCCAACCCTAATTGCTATTCGTTCATTCAGAATACCTGTAATTCAATGATCATGTTTACAGCGGAACTAGAACCTGATACCTTTTGTTTTTTAACGTTAACGCTTTATACGCTGTGTTCCTGAGCTTAGATATTTGGAGGTCACTTAAATGATTTAATACAGATCTCTGTTGTGAGTAACATGTTGGGGTAACCTCGACCTGCTGAAGTAGTGAAGTATTATATTTTTAGACTGATAATAGAAAATCCTTTCATTTTTCCATCTTATGTACTTAGTACTTAACAAAATCTTAATGTTCAAAAAAGGAAATATCTTCAAGCTAAATATCTTGTGACATAACCAATAAAGCTTATAAGTACAGTGTATCAAACCTGAAACCTATTTGTTTGAATCCTAATCGTATTTGACTGCTCTTATCAACTAATTTAGTCACATCCTATATGCTTAATAATCAACTAGCTCATCTTTCATCTAATGGTCTTTTTTGAAAATTTACTTCAATACCCTCCTTCTTTACTGTCGAACAATAACAGTTAACCTATGGTTAAAGATCACGTATATCTATGTTACAAATTGAGACTCAGAACTTATATCCTAGATCACAATATTAACTTCTTTACTTAGAACAATACAAAATCTTATAATCTATGTGTTTCTCAAACTACTCACATCATAACAATCAAAATTCCATTGTAATACTTTTTACTGAGTTTACCGTTATGTTGTAAGTGTAACTCTTAATATTTTCAGTTTCCATTGATTATTTGTGAACATTTTAATGGTATTTTTGTGGACCGCGATCTGAATCCAGTTATATCATATATTTGATTATTACAGAAATCTAAATATCGTCAATCTTTGTACATAATTATCGACTGAAATGGCGTTGGTAAATAATGGAATTAAATAAGTCAACTACGAGAATGGATGTTTGAATATGTATATTTTATACACTCATTGATCTGGATAGACAATCGGAGAATCGCGGGAAATGAAGCGAAGAAGAAAAAGCGAAGAGTAACAAAATGACGCGCAGTGAAGAGGGCGAGTGAGCCAACTCTATTTAGGCAAGAGTTAATCACACAAAAGTAAGCTACATACATGTGATGAGTAGGATTAAGTGTACACACATATGTTCAGATAAAAACAGTCAAGTTTAATTGTTAAGATCATAAGTCAATTAAAGCTAGATCAACATGGAAAATGTGCAAGCACTGGATGGACGTTTCGTCCTATTTTAAGACTCCTGAACAGTGTGCATCCTCGATCCCTCCTCGGAAGATCCGAACCCAAGACCTATCAGTTTCGTGCACGAACACTTAACCTCTAGACCATTACACTAGCATCAAATGATGTTAATGTCTAACTTGTAGTTTTTTTTAAAAAAAGAACCTTCCGTCCAATGTCATAGATTGAACTTTCGAGAGAATTTTTACAAAAAGACCAAATCTTTATTTTTTTAAAACAAATTTGAAATATTAAAACGGTAACATGACCGATTAATCCTTTTATTCTTAATCATCCTGGATACGTTATAGAAGAAAGAATAAGATTATACAATTAACCATAAATCACATTGGTTAAAAAAATAATCTTTCTATTTCAAAAAAATATTTCAGGATATTTATGATGATTGTGATTGTTAACATTGATGATGATGATGATGATGATGATGATGATGATGATGATGATGATGATGATGATGATGATGATGATGATGATGATGATGATGATGATGATGATGATGATGATGATGATGATGATGATGATGATGATGATGATGATGATGATGATGATGGTGATGATGATGATGATGATGATGATGATGATGATGATGATGATGATGATGATGATGATGATGATGATGATGATGATGATGATGATGATGATGATGATGATGATGATGATGATGATGATGATGATGATGATGATGATGATGATGATGATGATGATGATGATGATGATGATGATGATGATGATGATGATGATGATGATGATGATGATGATGATGATGATGATGATGATGATGATGATGATGATGATGATGATGATGATGATGATGATGATGATGATGATGATGATGATGATGATGATGATGATGATGATGATGATGATGATGATGATGATGATGATGATGATGATGATGATGATGATGATGATGATGATGATGATGATGATGATGATGATGATGATGATGATGATGATGATGATGATGATGATGATGATGATGATGATGATGATGATGATGATGATGATGATGATGATGATGATGATGATGATGATGATGATGATGATGATGATGATGATGATGATGATGATGATGATGATGATGATGATGATGATGATGATGATGATGATGATGATGATGATGATGATGATGATGATGATGATGATGATGATGATGATGATGATGATGATGATGATGATGATGATGATGATGATGATGATGATGATGATGATGATGATGATGATGATGATGATGATGATGATGATGATGATGATGATGATGATGATGATGATGATGATGATGATGATGATGATGATGATGATGATGATGATGATGATGATGATGATGATGATGATGATGATGATGATGATGATGATGATGATGATGATGATGATGATGATGATGTAATATACATATTGGATAATGAATATTCGATTTCTTTAAAATAGTAAATCATTAAAGTTTTATAAATAGTACATATATTTTGAAAGGTCAATAAAAATAACACCATTTATTTTGAATATATTTTAATAACTTTTTATTAGTTTGTTCCAATATTAAGGAGATAAAACAGCAGGGTTATAAACAAAATAAATTGGTGAATTCATATTTTAACCAAAATTGACTTTTAGCGGTAAATATAAACATTCGGGTTTCTATTTTTTAAACCAAATTAATGATTGTTTAAATGTACATTCATAAATACATTTGGATATTGACATTTTAACTTTACTTTCTCTGTGTGTTTGTGTGTGTCAGTAATCGTACCTGAAATATGTGAAAAAAATTATAATTAATTATTGATTCAGATGATGAACTGATTGATGTTACACCATCAACTTGTAAGTAATTGACGACTGTTTCGTCTCATTGTGGGATTCCTCATAAGTATGAATTCACTATTTATACAGGAAAGACTTATTTTAACAGTAAAACGTTAGATGTTTTGAACATTTAAATAGCTCTTTGATTTAAAGTAAGTTATCTGAGGGTATTTGATCGGTGAATAAAAAATCTATAAGCTGAATATTGGTTTTAACATATTAATCATTTATTAATTATTTTAAACGTAGAATCTTGTCCAAGGTATACTGTGCTGTCAATTACAATGTTAAGCCCATACAACTTATTCTAGCTTCTGGACAGGTCAATTTATCCATTCTCCGTGAGTGACCTTTGACCTTGTTAATAATATCCACAAAACCACTTCTGATACTAATCAACATATTCTCACTAGTGACTGGCATCAAGAGGTACATCCTGGAGTTCTAGTGAGAAGCAGTGACTAGTGGAGTTCAACAGGATCTGTTGTGAGATTGTAACTCACTGAAAACAATTGTGGATGGGTTGCTCAATTTCTTGCATTAGTTGAAGTTAGACATAAACACTATTTGATACCGACTCAGTGGTTTGTTTGTTATATTTGAAGATCTGTGTATAGATAAATGTAAATATTTGAATTTTATTCTACTTTCTGACTATTCAAAAAAAGAAGAATGGGAAGACTTTGTTCAAAATTATTACCATCACACGATTATTGTTATATCACGAGGAGAATTATGAATGGTAACTGTTGGGATCTATTCATTGTTTAATACTATACATATATTTCCATTTTATAAATTATATTTAGCTAAACTATGCATTTTCGTTTCCCTCTTATTATAAGCTTTATATTAACCCTATAGACTATTATTAGATGATGTACCATTTTTGAGTTATACCCAGTCTACTGATTACAGTCTCCAACATTCACAACCACATTTGCGTTGATCTTGTACAAATGTTATTTTCTATTTTATGGTACGATGTGGTCTGTTTGGTTTATGTATGAGCGCAGTATGTTTGAAATACATCATTCATATCGTAGAGACTGAGATCGGTGTTTTGGACGTAATAGCCAGGGCTAGGCAGGAAGAATAACCGATAAGAACTCGAGTGCTCGTACGGATTTCATGCGACATTGGCCCAATCGATAAATCATCTTATAATGCATTAACAGGACATACAAGCCACAAGTTAAAACAATTGACGACGGGGTGAAAAACAAGAACCAAGGGCATAAAACCACAAGTTACAACATAAATACTATGAAACATTTTGCTCAAATTTAGATAAAGATTTTTATATACTGTCCATTTATATCACAAATATATACATGAATTTATCTTGATTAAGTAAAGTAAAAGAATCTGCTCAAATTTTATTCTACCGAAAAAGGCGCAAATAATTAAAATTCGATATCTGTTAATTCTTTCCCCTTTATTGAGAATTTAAATTTGTTTTGTTACCCTGAAGAAGTCCAGACAAGTTAGCTGGACGAAATGTTGAAATTCAATACATTTTAATCGCTGAGATTATTTCAAATCTAATTTTCACATATAATGACTTTTCTATACTTGGCGCTCAATTTCTGTCAAACTATTTGTTCTAATCTTGACGAATATTTGTATGAAATATTTCTTTTCTCTTGTTTGTTTGTGTCCTTTTCTTCTGTAAATATTCGATACTCCATTTTAAAATGTAATGACATAAAGATTTACTTTATTTATTGAAAGATACAAATGAAGAACATTGTGTACCACACTTCTTCTTCAAAATGATTGATTAATAATAATTTTGAGTTGATTTGATCAATGGAATATGATTTATACCATTGAATATAATAAATTACGTTCCTTGTGTTAAACAAACGTTTAATAAAGTCTCTCATTCTTTCTCTTTTTGATTAGGATAAAGACAAACTTTCAGAAATGAATATCGTTTGAGTACTAGTTTAATGGTCTATAGTTTGAGTATTCATAGAGAAACTTGAAAATTTTATGTTGTGTATGTAAACTGCTAGAGTTTCCTAATTTATGGTTATTGTTGGTTCCATAACTGAATTCAGTAATCTTCACCAACACTTCTTACCAATTATTATTCAATTACTGTATATTAACACTCAGGTTACTTTACACATTTACTGATATGATAAAAAAATAATGCAGTTCAACCATATCATAAAGTAACAGTAGATAGGCATCACAATATCTAGTAGGTGAGCATAAATTCTACATTTCAATGAAAAACTTAATTATTATTGTTTACATGCAATTAGTGTAGGTATCTATATCGAGATTTGACTTAATTAAATAAAGATGGATAGTGGCTAGCAGTTAAATCCAGGAAGCGCGTTTTGTTATATTTGGGACTCGTCAGTTGGACATGACTGAATCACAGAGTTGATATTCACTCCAGGACTCGAACCCAGTGCTGTTCGCTTCAAACGCTATCACGTTATCCACTTAGCTACTGAGTTCTGATAGTCACCTGCTTGTGCAAATAAAACGAAACGCACGTCTTAGATTCCACTGTTATCCACTATCCATCTTTACTTAGAATGCTTGTGGCTTAAGGCTATATCAAGGCAATCTGCACAGGGTCCACATATGCCAATAAGAGACTGATCAATTGCAGTCCTAAATAACAATTGGAAGATACAAGTAAAATAACACCAAGTGACTTTGATTTAATTGTTTCAAATAAATTAACCATTCAGTAAATTATTATACAATTAGTTGGAAGGAAATTATTCGTACAAAAGTACGAATGGTTAAATGTATCTGGTTAGAAAACATACTAAATTTAATATTGATAATCAATACATTCATCATTTAATCATTTATGAAATCTTAGATATAGTAAAACGATAATTTATGGATGATCTCTGAGTGACGCTAAAGTGGCCTTCAGCGTGTCCACCTAATAAATATTACCAAATGAGGGTGTTAGGAATTAGAATTATGATTTACAGTTGGCGGTTAGAGTTAGGAACTAGATTTATAGTTTTTATCACGAATTTAAATAAACTATAATGCTAAAACAGTATTTTACTAAATAGATTAATGAATTTCGCGCTAAAATCTAAGACCTATTATCTTTTACCGGATTGATTCGTCCATAAATTATAGTTCCGCCAAAATGTCTTCTACATAATATTAAAATATTTAATCTCCGATTATATACTTCGTCCTTTTAAATGTTTCTTGATGACTTCGTATTTTATCATTAACCTATAATCAATTTCAATGATTGAGATCATGAGTCAATTGAAGCTTGACCACCATTGAAAACCTGGGAGCACTGAATGGCCGTTTCGTCTTATTGTGGGATTCCTCAGCAATGCACATGCACTCATGATCTCAACCATTGAAATTACTACAATATCGTTAAATATCCAGTCAGTACTTATTTAGAAACCTTTTTTGAATAACCGATATTTAGTATGAATTGTAAATAGGAACTAGTTGACTGATTTTCAAACTGTCCACTTTTTAATTCATAAATAATGTTATGAAATGTCAGTTAATCCGTAAATCAATTTTTAGTTACATTATTGTTATCCATTTTCAAAAATGTTCCCTTTTTTCTTTTTGCAAGAAAAATGCCTTCATGAAATAACTTGTTGAATGTTAAGTACATTTTATGTCTATTTAGAAAAATAAAGCAAAACATCAGATGTATATAATTAAATTTCTTTAATGAATGCTTAGTATGTAAGTTAATTTGGAAGTGGCTTTGTGGAGATTGTAGTAATTTAAACAATTGAGATCATGAGTCAGTTGAAGCTAGACAACCATGGAAAACCTGGAAGCACTGGACGGCCGTTCATCCTGTTGTGGGACACCTCAGCAGTGCGCATTCACGATCCCACGAGCGGGCGCCTAACCATCAGACCACTGAGCCGACATCCAACGGTGTTAATGACTAACTTCAACTAATCCACGAAATTAAGCGACACATCCACCATTGTTTTCAGTGAGTTACTATGTCACAACAACTCCACGGGTCATTGCTTCTAACTAGAACTATAGGAATTAACTCTTGAAGCCAGTCACTAGTGAGAATATGTTGATTGGTATCAGAAGTAGTTTTGTGAAGATTGCAGTAATTTAAACAGTTGAGATCATGAGTCAATTAGAAGTGCAATTCATTTACTTACTTACTTGCTTACTTACTTATTTACTTACTCCTGTTACTTCAGTTGGAGAATAGGCCACCGACTAGCATTCTCCAACCCACTCTGCCCCCTGGCCTTCCTTTCTGTTTAGCGTTTTTTTAGCTATGGGGTCGCCAACTTCATGCCTAACCCCTCTCTTTTATCCGGGCTTGGGACCGGCAGTAGCCCCCGGAGGGACTCCGGGCGGAGTCCCTCTTTAATTGTTGTTCATTCTTTTCATGTCTGTCTCCGTTTCTCGGTGTAATGTGTTCTTTGGTCTTTCACTTCTCCTTTGGCCCTGAGGATTCCATGTGAGGGCTTGCCTTGTGACACAGTTGGACACTTTCTTCAATGTATGTCCAATCCACTTCTAGTGCTTCTTCCTGATTTCTTCCTCCGCTGGAATCTGGTTTGTTCTCTCCTACAGTAAATTGTTGTTGATGGTGTCTGGCAGAGTTTATTCAGTTACTTAAGTG